ATCAAAAAGAACATTTGATATCAACCAAGATTAAAATGAAAGAAAACTTGAAAAAAATGAAAGCTAAAATTTCAAACAATTTTTATAAAAAAGAACTTGCATAAAATTTGAAGAAAAAAAACTCTCAAAATATGAATTAAAATAACCAAATTACATCAAACCTATGAAAAATGAACTTGCTCCGCAATGTTAAGAAATCTGGATGACAAAAAAGACGACAAAAATACAGAAAGATTGCGAAGGAAATAAAACAAACACGAAAGTTCATATAGTCCCCAAAGTTTCTCACCATATATGTTCGTAGACAGTCAAGTCCAAACAGCGAGAAAAAAATGAAATTCAAAAAAAAAAATTTTTGAAAAAAAAACGTTACTCATGAAAACAATACCATCAACTTGAACCGATTTGAACTATGCCATCAACTTGAACCGATTTCAAACAAAAGTACTCAACTCTTAGACAAACCAATAAATCAAATCTTAAACTAATGCCATCAACTTGAACTATGCCATCAACTTAAACCGACTTCAACTAAAAATACTCAACTCTTAAACAAATCAATTAATTAAATCTAAAAACAATTCCACGCACTTTTTGATTAAAAATAAATCAGAAACCTTGCATCCGAAAACAAACGGAAAATTAATTGCAATTTTTTAAAATTCTAATAGTAAATTTTAATTTTCTAACAGAAAGTTGTCAAGCATAAAACTACGAAAAAATGAACTATGTTTACCCTCCTAAAAACATTAAAAATCTACCAAAAATACAGAAAAAAACATCCGGCTAGTAAAAACCGACAAAAAAATAAGTTATATTTTGAAATGTAGTAAAAATTTATCTTTCGCTTGAAACGACTCAAAATTTTGTCACTAAGCCGACAAAATATAAGCCAAAACCTTTTGGGCAGGGTAAAGTTTTTAAGCGAAAAAAAAAACAAAAATAAACGAAGTCAAGGTTAGTAAAATTACAAACAGCTGAATCAGATCAAAACTCTAAAAGCAACTAAAATATAAACCTCGTACTGCAAAACATTCTTCTACAATGTGGCAACCATTATTTCAGAATATTTCACGTTTAAAAAAACATGTCTTGTAAGATTTAAACCCAGGGCCTTTGCAATCCCAGGCATATTCGTTACCTCCAGACTAAGTGTGGTGAAAACTAAATTCATTATGAATTTTACTTTGAATATTCTGTGAACAAAACTTTTTACGGGAAAATAGTCTTGTGCCCGATTGCATTGCCCATGCTGATCGCAAAAGTAATAATAATGAATGGTGACCGGATGTATAGGTGATCGGTGGCTGGATGCATCGGCAATCGGTAGAAGGATTGTAAGCTTGTCCTAGTTATAAAACTAAACACACCAATTGCCAAAGAAAAATATATGTTAGTGTTCGAGAGGAAAACAAATGCAAAAAAATGCAAGGATAGCCTGCTGCTGGGCAAGTATCACAGAAAAATCGTACCACAATAAAAAGCTAAGGAAAGGGTCATTTGTTGAAAGTGTGATGAGAAGATTTGAACAAAAACTCAACCATTTCGATTTTCTTTTTCAAATTTGTTGCAGAAAATTAAGTTAAATTTTTAAAAGTTGATGCGTTAGAAGGTACAAAAAGAAACTTAAAAAACTAATCATACGGCAGTTCAACTAAATTTACACGGGTTAATTTGATTACCATAATAGGCATAAAATATTTGCTTGATATGAGATCAAATTCAAAAATTTCGTACCGTTTTCTTTGCGACACTAAGAAAATTTTGTTTGAAAACATTTCAAAGTTGTTCCCAACTTGGTTGAAGAACGTTTTTTAGCAAAGTTTATTCGATCTCCATGATTATTGGTGGTATCAACAACATTATATTGAAAACAAACAAAGGAGAAAAAACAACTCGAGAATCAAAATAAAAAAATCTTCACAAGCAAAGTCCACAATTGTATTTATAAAATGTTCAGCCAAAACTCTCGGATGACAATAACATGCACCGTTTCGAGAAAACAAGAAAAATGAGTTTTTGATTTCAGTAATGATTGCCTAAATGTTTAATACCGACCGTACTGTGACAACCAAACCGAAAAAAAAATACGAAAACAAACAATAGTCAATAGTAATGATTGCCTAAATGTTTAATACCGACCGTGCTGTGACAACCAAACCGAAAAAAAAAAATACGAAAACAAACAATAGTCAAACTATGTTTACTCTACACAATGCCTGCTGAAAAATAACTAGTAATGTGTCAAATAATTACAAGGCAAATTTAACTAGTTGCTTCTCAAAGAGTCTGCAAATTCTATCGATGGTCGTTTGAAACGAACATCTCTACAAAAGCTTTTTTTCAATTTTGGCCGATTTATTTGTGTGCTGCGGGAGACGAGTGGCACTGAAACCTAATTGTACATAATATAATAAAATTACTTCTAACAAACTAAAAGCTAAACATGAACCAATATTAGTGTCTGTCTTAACTCAAATTTATACTAATTAACAAAAAATTCAAACCTGCTTTTTTCCACATTAAAAAACATCGACAAAAATCTCACAATTTCAATAAATTCAAGAATGGAACGGCTTTGATATGATATTACAAAAAAAATTCTTCCCCAATTTTAAGGGCAGGAAAAAATCAAAAAAGGCCAACGCCACGTGCCCAAATTGGTTCCTCAAATTGAAAGAAAAAATATTTCCGCAATGAAATCCATTCCGAACTTTGAAGCACCATTGGATTGTTGATCTAGTGCAAGGAAATTTTAAGAACTTTCAACTGCACGAATATTTAACGGTGCTACAACTAATTGTTGAACGTGAAAATTTTTTTCTAAGCTTTAAAATCAAACAACAGAATATTGTGAAGTGCAACTTTTAATGCAATTGTAGAAAAAAGGCTGGTCAGCTTTCAACATCGCTTTTGACTTCATTAATTAAACGACTTGCAACCATGAAACTATCCTTACACCATCTCACCATAGCGACGAGGGTGTCAAATTTTAAAAAGTAGTTTTTTTAAACTAAGATTTTTTTATTATGTTTCAAAAGGTCTAGGTACAAACATGGGGTCGCGAATTTTAAGTTTTAAGAAAAACCATAATGTGAGTTTATTGGAAAATCAATAAAAACTATCTTATCTCGGAAACCTATAAAAATTTGAGCGGTCAGAATTGGTGACCAGATTTTCAAACCCTGTGATTACCCTGAAAATTGCACGCTGTATGGTGGAAAATTTGGTGTTAACAGAAAAATAAATTTTTCGAATCCAAATTTTTTTGGTGGAAGCACTAACTGGTGGAAAGTTTGGTGTTAACAGAAATAAACAATTTTTTGAAAACATAGGCCATTAAAAACTTTGTGAAGCAACCACGAACATTTTTTAAAGTTTGTGTTCCAATAAAAACCAGAATTAAGTAATTTTTTAAAATCTAAATTTGGTAGAGAAATTTTATACCTTGCGTTTTATACCTTGTCAAGATAGGAACTTCGTGAACAAGTGTCAAGTGAAATACCTAATTTTTTTTTAAAATGTATACATATATATAGATAAAATTTGCACTCAAAATGCATACAAAAACCAGTGACATCAAATTTTGAGTCTGATGGAAACACCTTTCCACAACTGTCGCTTGATATTCTCAAATACTAGCCAGCAATGAAGCTGCGAAATACATGCTATCAGATTGCCAATGCTTTAAAAATATGCAGCAAAAGGGCAACCATATGAAGCACTAACTAATTTGAAAAAATAGGGAAAAAGTGGGCTGACTGAGCTACACTAATCACAAGTCTGCTTGTGTGAAGAAGGTGGGCCACCTTGCATTGAATTATTTCGAAAAATGATTTAAGAGCAAAAAAAACACGAATCCTAAAAACAGAAAAAGATACTTTTTTCAAGGTGTTGTTTGTTAATAGGGAACAATTATGGTAAAACACAAACTTAATCAAAATCTTAAAACAACTTGGACCACGCAGTTATGATCTCCCAGACAAAGAATCGACTTAAAATTTATATCGTTTTTTTGTTGTCAAAATAATTTCATTACTCTCAAGCAGAATAATTTCAGTAGTTGATATGTTTTGCACCATTAGCTCAACAACAATTTACTCGTTTTGTTTTGTTCTTGTTTTATTTATTTTAGCTGAAGGAGGTCAAAAGGTCAACAAAAAGGGGGAAATTTGATCCCGTTTTGTGTCGTAAAGAAAATGTTTGTTAAAAATGAAATGCTAGCTTCAAAAATTTGAATATGAAAACATAGCCAACAGAGAGTTGGAAAACGTCAATGAACGAATTTCAAAGAAAAAAACAGACGCCAATAGAGCTCTATGAATTTCTAGAATAATTTATGATTGGCACTTTTTAGATAAAATTAAACCAGTTTGAGAAACTAGACTAGATCAATAGGTAAACTTTATATTTCGCAGTGAAACCTGAAAATTAAATTCCATTTTCGAAACTAGAAGTCGATCAAATTTTTTGTGACCTTTCATCTTTCGCTCTTCAATAGTGGAGTTTCAAAAAACCTTTTATGATTGCCATTTTTTAATTGGCTAGCCAGCAGTCATGATTGGCTACCCAGCAATCATGATTGGCTAGCCAGCAACTGGATCAAAAAAATATATTTTCCACGTCGTTTATTGAAGAACGTAATTTGCCTTCGTTTAAGCAAATGAATTTGAATTGAGCTTTAAAAAAACCAGGAGTCAAACAGTAAAAAATCATGTGCTAGAACTTTCCAGAATTTCCTGAAACAAAAAAAAATCAGCACTACTGATGAGTGTCTCACTACGTTCATTGTACTTGAAAGTTCAAAAAATTTCACAAATAACAGATAAATTTACACTTCTTAGATTAGCACAGCCGCTCTTCAGGTAGAGCATTTGATTTTGGTGTCAGCAATAGCATCCACAAAACAAATTTCTAAAAAAAGATATAAAAACGTTCCATAACTCATTATTCAAACTTTACTTGTCGTTCCAACTAATCGTCCACAACGTTTCAAAAAATGCGACTGAAACGGTAAATTATCAGCAAATATTAAACAGTAGATATCGCTCTATTTATGAAATAAATCAAATATAACCTCAAATTATTCTAAATATATCAGTTTTAAGGCTTAACAACGAATCTACAATAAACTATTGTATGCAACACTGAATTGTGAATAGTTTTGGTATCTTAAACTATATTTAACTCGAAAGTATGCGTAACTTTACAAGTTGAAAAGAGTTTTCTTGATGTTGGAACAGAGATCCTTCAGGGAGGACAGAGTTCAGTTTTCATCGTCTTCTTCGTTGTCAGTGATAGACCCCTCGACTTTTTCACTGTCGCTTTCGCTGATATCCCCCAGCAGAATTTTCGCCATAGTTTCAGGATCTTGCGAATCTTCGTTCATCCAGATAACTTGACTGTTGGAATTTTCCGCTGGATTCCCTTGGGATCCGAAATCATACTGATTCGAGTTCGAATTGAAGGAGTCATCCATTGGATACGAAGACGAATTCTGGTCGTGAAACGCTGGATCCTGTGATGATAAATAGCTCTGCTCGTTTTGATAGCTTAGTTGTGAATAATCATCAGCTGAAAACTGCACCTCGGCTTTCATCTGGAAACTTGGATCAAAATTTTCTTCATTCTGAATAGCAAAGTTAGACGTTTCGTGAATTGTAGCAAGCGTATTTTTATTCGGCACTTGTGTGTGAAGATCAGAAGCATTTGGTTTCCGCTCCGATCCGTTGTCGAAAGAGCTGAAATAATGATCGAGGTTCGTAATCATAGCCCTAGATCGCTTACTAGTTGTTGGCTCCTCAGTATCTGAGTCACTTTCGGAGCTGGACCTTCCAGCTTCGTTGGCCTTTTCGCTGAACCCACTCAATTCTGAGAATCCAGTTGGCGACATGCTACTAGCAACTGATCCCGTCGACTTTTGAGATGCCTCCCAAATCCTTCGTTCCAATTTAGTAAGATACTCATCGTGTAAAGATATTTCAATCCTGGCCATGTTTACAATTTCAGTGGCCTTGGATGTTAAAATGTGTTCAGGTCCGTTGAATAGCTCACTATTTGAAGCAATTAAACTGATGTCATTCATGAAGGCTTCTTTAGTTCGATATGAATGTCTGACACAATTCTTCAAAAGAGTGTCCAGATCCATGGGATATTTGACAAGCGATCTGTAATGGGGAGCAGCTTTCTTGCTGACTGGAACGTGGAACGGAGAAGATTCTGGAATCTGTTTAAGTTTATTGGCAATTTCCCTGAGTAAAAACGAGAAACCAACTTGATCATTGTCATCCAACAACGGATTAATTCTTTTCTCTAGCTTGGAGTATTTCGACTCCAATGACCTAAAGTGAGTTTGAGCCATATCGCTGAGCTTGTGGGCATTTTCAGTTATCGAATGATTAAGACCATTGTATGTTATGGAGTTGCATACTATCAAGTTAATGTCTTCCAGAAAATCATTTCTTGTTTTGTATTGCTTTTTCATACATTTGTCTCGCATTTTCTGTAAATCCATTGGTTGAGACACGATCGAGTAATAATCTGGAACATCTTTTTCTCGCACTTTGTGATGAAATACTTCGGACCCGGGAACTTGTTTCAGCTCCTGGATAAGTTTCTCAAACATCGATGAAATGACAACTACGGGATCCGCACGTTTTCGCAGCATCCCTCCAGAGGTATAATGTTTTCTATAAACTATTGAAGATTCCTCGTCTTTTTTGGATCCCGTACCTCCATGTACACTCGATGATCCCTGATGTCGTTTATCCACGTTGTCGAATAACCCTTTGCCGAGTGTTATTTTGGTATCCTCAACTTTAATCAAATCCTCGCCTTCGTCATCGTTGGTTACTTCAGAACTGAGGTCAAAATTGGAGCTATTCCTAGGCAAGTTTTCACGTGCGGCTGGAGGCGTTTTTCCAAAATAAGGACACAAACTGTTGGTTTTCATGTGACCTTTCAGACCACAAGCCCCACATGTTACTTTAAATGATTGCGGGTCATGTTTCTTTGCTTTCGATGTGGCGCCAAATTTGCCTTTCTGTTTATTCCTTTCCAGTCTTCTCAACTGATCTTGAAGCCTCCTTCTTTTTTTGCGCTCTTCTTCTTTTCGAATCTGTTGAAAGTCGACAAATTCTGACATCCAAGCTTCGTCTTTAGTATCTCGGATACTCATGTACACATGAATTACATCAGGTTTCCGAACAGTCTCAACTCTTTGATACTCTTCCCCAGTTTCGTCATCCCTGAAGTTCCGGTAAATCTTCAAAACTTTTCCATTATACTTTGACATGTCAACATCATCTGCAATATTAGTGGTCGGATCTTTCTTGTTTTTGTCTCCTTTATCCGGTTCCTCTTTTGGATTATTTCCTGACAAAATCATTTTCTGCAACTCTTTTCTCTCGTTCTCTTCCTTTTCTCGGGCCAACTCAGCACATGATTTATTTTTAGCCATCAATGATTCGACATTTTTGGCCATTGATTCTAAGTCTTCCTCGTCGTCTTCAGAGCTGCTCGCGTCATCTGAACTCAGAACCTCATCTGATGCTAACACTTTATTCTGCTGGTCAAATATTCTTTGGCATTCTTCTCTAAACTTCTCGTGAGAGTCTGAGATTCCATACTTTCCAATTCTCGCGAACTTGTCATACATTGATTCTCCAGATCCAGTTTTCGCTTTTTCAGTCGAAAGAGTTCTGATTACGTCAATGATCTCCCATCGCGACAGTTTTTGAATTTCCTCATCAGGAATTTTATGTTTAACTAATATTTGTCTGGCTTGTGTTAGATTTAATTTCCGAAGATCAGCATCGGTTCCTGTGACGTTTCGTTTCTTTTCATTGCCAGCAACACTTTCCTCGTCTTTGTTAATTCTACCGGGTAGACGAACAAACGAGAACCCTTCGCCGCAACCAGTCGGATCTCCGATTCCTGTGATGTCCAACATGAACTTTCCCTGTATTGCACTCAGATAGGCTCTTGTAGTGTTCCACGGCGCACACTTAACTTCGTCTTCGACATTTTTTTCATCAGAGGCGTTCGGGTCATCCAATTGATCATCAAGAGTGAATGCCTTGTCTCCATAGCCTGCATCTCTAAGTCTTTGTTCGGCAGCTTGCATGCTGTAGAACGCACAGCATTCTTCTGGCGAAACTAAACGCCTTAATTCCTCTTCGTTCGGAAGTCGGAATCCTGACTTCAAGTTCCACCAATTTTGTTCATGTCCTGCACGCTTAAAATCTGAACAAATTTTTAATCGTTTTCGAATACTGCTCTCTGAATAATGCGGTCCAAAAGCGGCTCTTATGTCTTCCATTTTAATTCGTTTCTGTTTCTCTTTTGACGACCAAAATAGACGATACACAAAGACAGCGAGGAAATCCCTCTGAAAATGTGAAGCCTTTTTCGAGTTAGGACTGGGAACTTCAATTAAAGGGTACTGTTGACCTACTGTAAAAATCATCGGCACTTTTCTGATATAATAAGCATCCCGACACCTGATAATCAAAAAATCATTGCTTTTCATTTCGTGATTATAAATAGGCGCTCTGTACATACTATTCTCGAGAACTGATAAGGTAGCTCCGTTCTGTAAATTTCCCAGAAATGGACTTTCATTCATGTAAACAACTTCGCCATAAGAGTAGTTCGGAGGACCTTGATCGCTCCGATTTCCTTTTTTGTAGTAATGTCTGATTTTTGAGGACATTCCAATTTGACTGATTAAGGGAGGATGTTGCTCCGAGATCTCGGCCAAAACCAAGTCTCCGTCACGTCCCGATAGATCATCTGCAGTCCTCATGTAAAACATATCCCCGCCTCCTGATGCTTGCCTTTCCGCTTCCCGTTCCTGGCGAATCAACTCAATGTATTCAGTAAGAACCTTCACTGGTTTCAGTCCTGGTTCCGATAGAAGACCGTAAGAGTATCGTTTCAGCGGCCACCTGTGGAAGTGTCTTAGACGTTGCACGCTCAAGTAAGTTGGGAAAAACGGTTGAGATATTTGCACGGCAGTTGTCGCGTGGTGAATCAGAGATCCAAGGCCCTTCGCTGCCTCTTTCTCTTGTTTGCTTCGGTAAAAACTATCACTTGACAGGTTAAACTTATGGCGTTTTAGCCCTTGTAATCTGAATTGACTATTGCTATTCGCGTCTTTTTCTGTGCCAATATCTTTAGACTCGCGTAAATTAGAGTTTTCCAATTTTCCAAGAAGAATTTTAGATCGCCGCAATTGTTGCTTCTTATCTGGTGACTCACTCTGGCTTTTATCCGGACTACCTGACTTCCCTGGACTCGTAGTTAAACCTCTCAAACGTTTTCGGTCATCGTTCAAAATTGGCAACAAATTTT